TTGCCCTAATGATTCCTTCCAACAACCAGTTCAGAAGTAATGTTCTTATTTTAGCATTAAATACATAATAAATATACATATTTTGTGGGAAAGTGGGTTAAAATACTAATTTTCATACTCTAAAAAATATGCAGATTGAAATAGAAGAGAGTTAGAACTTGTTGATGTGTAAGCATGAAAGAAACTGAAAAAGGCTGATCAGGCATTGTTAATATCTAATAGTTTTCAGTATCCTTGAGTTATTTTGGTATCATTTGCTACAAACCTTGTTTTAATGGGAATATATTATTTATTTATTTATTTATTTATTTAATATTTACTAGGCAGAATTACTCGTATAAAATGGGAAGCAGATGGTCCCAGTGCCATTCCAGGGAATCACCCCTGACCCAGGGAGTTATTGCAGCTGGCTGACCTTCTATGCCAAATCTCTGTTGCAGTTTGGTACTACAAGTGGACACATAATACTATCCAATTAGTGCTTTATTTTAGTTACATTTTGTTGAACAAATAAAAAGCTGCTCCATAAATCATAGTTACAAATCACTGTAACATCTTAACCCAAACCAAACAAAATACGTATTGTAATGGCTTGAGTTAAGTGTAAATTGAAAATTGCTAGCAGCCATTGTTGGATGCAACAGAGAAAGGCAATTGAGGTAAACACAAAGAGATATCAAAAAAGAATTACAGGACTGACAGGCTATGGACTTCTACAGAGGAAAAAGTAAACAAATAGTCATGTTTCCTGTCCATCCATCAAATGTGATTTTGTTCCTCCTGACAAACATATCCGAGAATTTTGCTTTAAGGTAACCTCGAAAAAGTATGGTGTTCTGATGAATCCATGGACACATCCCTGTACCATTCTTGGCAACAACACAAAAGGGATTTCCCATGTCCACCTTCTATGATGTTTTACATATCCCAGTCTAGCTCATAGCTCTGATACATCTTGATGATTTTCCATCCAAATCTTAAACTGGTCAGACCTTACAAGGTTTCTGAGATCAAATACTATTTTAAAAATACGTTAATAATATCAAAATTGTTAATTAATAAAGGTCATAAAATATAGTCAGGACAGTATAAAGTTGATAAAGCTGATGAGGATGTTTGTTCCCATCATCTTCAGGTAGTCTCTCAGAAAGAAGCTGAAAAGAATCTCCTTGCAGAAAAGCTCAGTGAGTTACAACGAGAGCTGAAATATGCCAGATCTGAGATTGAACAGGTGAAGCTTGACAATTTGAAGCGACAAGAGCAGGATAAGGTACGTGCGGATATTTTTTTCTGTGACATTGAGGGCCGAATTTTATTCCTCGCAGGTCTTTCAAGCTAAAAAATCAGTGGTGGGTTCCTACCGGTTCGGACCAGTTCGGCCAAATCAGTAGTGGTTTGGCGCCCTGGGTTGCTTGAAACGGCAGTGACCCAGGCCTGCTACGCCCTTGAACCGGTTCTCCGGGCAGCAACATAGGCACTGCCATCTTGTTTTTTGCTTCTGCACATGGACAGAGCAGTTTTTATTGCACTGTGCATGCGCGAAGTGCCCACAAGCGAACCAGCAGTAGTGACTGCCAGAATCCGCCCCTGCAAAGCGTGTCTAGGACCACACAGATCAGAAGATAACTTCTTAGCCTTTCATGTCTAGTAGGTAGAAGGATTTGCTTGTGATTCTCCATATGTGTGTCACCTTTTATGGAACTCTCACAATAAAACCAGTCTGCTTTGGTGCTTAGGGGACATCCAGAAAAAAGGTGGAAATGTTTTTGTTCTGCCAGCTATATAGAAGAAGTGGATTTTTATTCTCACAGCTGTGTTAAAAATCTGTAGAGATTCTCAGCCATCCAGGTCATAGTTCTCCCAAAGGTGCCTTTTCAGGAGCCAGCTGGACTTTCTTGCACTACTCAGGTGACCCTGAAGACACAGATAAACCTCCAAGTGCTTTAATTACCCTCTAAAAGGATGCA